AGCCATCATTGTTGTTTGGCGGGCCTGGGCTGGATTTGAACCTGCCATCTTAGGTGTATGTGGCTGGCGCCTTAGCCACTTGAGGCACAGGCACTGCACCAGGGTTCGAAACTTACATGCAGTGCAGTCTAAAGAATTGGTTATGTCCTTAAACCAGAATTCCACACATATTGCTGGCTACACGTGTGTTTGATCTCTTCATCCAGTGCTCTAACCTTCCTTCTCCTTACTTGTAGCAGTTTTTTAAAACTCCCTTCTCGTTTTCTCTGGCATCTAGGTTTCGCGTAGCAAAATTAAGCTGTAAAGCTTCTGACTTCTAGTTTTCTTCAGCACTTTTTCTTTCCAGTCAAAATTGGTTAAAGTCCTTTCTTTCTCTTTGCTTTTTTTTTTTTTTTTGTAGAAACTTTCAATCCCAAAAATATCAACAAGGAAGTCAAGACAGGAAGAAATATGTTTATAAAAAGGCATTGTATTTTCAATATACTGATAATACCTTCCAAACAATCATTGAAAAACCATCCTGGTTGGGATTTTTAGGTCCAATGATTAAGGCAGAGACTGGAGACTACATTTATGTACATGTGAAAAATTGTGCTTCAAGGGGCTATAGTTTCCACCCTCATGGGCTCACCTACACTAAAGAAAATGAAGGTAAGTGGGTCCCGGCTTGTTACTTGCCTGAGCTTTTGCACAATATCTCAGGAAAAGTAAGAGATCACAAACTGGCCAGCATTAGGAGCGAGGGGGAGTTTGGGTTGGACTCAGATTCTCACTTACCTTATCTTTCATGTTTATACCCAAGATGGTCTTTTTTCAGTTCTGCATCTTGAATGAGTAACAGCCCTTGGGCAATTCCTAGGAAAGACAGTACCCTCTCCCCCTCACTTGCCAAAAAAGGAGACACCCGTGAGCTAAAGTTTGGGGTAGCAGAAATTCTGCTCTGCCCTCATCTCATTTCAATTTCCTCATAGGGGAGGATCATCTTCCTGCAAACATCAGTATCAAGGGAAATTTCTGCTTTTCAGACAGAATCTTCTCTCCCACACATCAGCAGTCACCACTGCGTGGTGGTATGAAGAAAGGGAGAGAAAGCCAATAGGTAGGGTGACCAGACGTCCCGCTTTTGG